CACCACAGCCCCGCCCATCTCCATTTGGCCCCACCCTCCCTGCCTCAGCCCCAGCCCATCTCCACTTAGCCCCACCCTCCGTGCCACAGCACCACCCACTTTCATTTGGCCCCGCCCTCCCCACCACAGCCCCACTCATCTCCGTTTGGCTCCGCCCTCCTTGCCTCAGCCCGCCCCACCGACATCTCTATTTGGCCCCACCCCCGCTGCCTCGGCCCCACCCCATGTCTTTGGCTCTGCGCGCTCCTCACTGTTGCAGGCCTTGCGCATCCGCTCCTGGCATGGCGCTGCGGCACCTCGCCTTCCTGGCTGGCCTTCTGGTGGGAGTTGCGAGCAAGTCCATGGAGAACATGGTAGGTGCCCCCGTCACGTGTCCACGCGGCCTAAGCCAGGGCCTCTGAGGAGGGCGGTGGGCCCTTCCCCTAGGGGTCTAACCCTTCAACCTTCAGGACACTGATGTCCCAGTCCCAGAGGTGCTGACCGGGGCCACTGCTGGGGTCAGAGGGGCCTGTGCCTCGCAGAGGGGAGCCCTGCACTGCCTGCTTGGTGAGCACCTGCTCAGGAATGGCTGGGTCTGGCGGGGCCCCCATGGTGAGGCATCGTGACCCGCACTGGGAGCAGCTCTGCCAGCGGTGACGGCACAGCCCGCCGCACGTTGCTACCGGGGAGTGTAGCTGCAGCGGTTCCCGACTCCCAGTCGGAGTGGTGGGGGGTGGGGACCCCTTGCCAACCTGGCTGGGGCGTTTGAGGGACTGGACCTGGACCTCTCCCTGGCGGTGTGGATTCTCTCCCGTACTCCACCGTCACCCCTGGACACCCTCACCGTTCACTGCATTCAGGTCACGAGCAACAGCACAGCTGTGATCAACACACAAGCTGAGGGCACCCTGAGCCCCCCAGGCCTGTCCAGCTGCCTGTGGTTAAGGAATGGGCCCTCACACACACCGCAAATGCCAGCACCCAGTGCACCTGTGCAGCACCTGGGCACCCAGGCGTGAATTCGTCCCCTGAAATGCCAGCCAGGCCCAGGCACTTCCTCTGTGGGGTCAGGCTGGAAACCTGTGATGGAGGGGTGTCCAGAGAATTGCAGCGAATGTCAGTGGCACTGCCACGGCCTGCGGGTGCCACCTCGTGGGGGTGGTTTACTCTGTTCCAGGCCCAGCTTTTCCTTGGAGACCGCCCACCCAGGGTCCCACAGGGATGTGCACTGTGGCCATGAGTCCCCTCCTTGCTCCCAGGCCCACAGGGGACAGAGGGCCACCTGATGCTGACTCCAGAAGAGGCTGGAGCTGTGGATGTCGAGATGTGCTCATACGGCACCCCTCAGCCACTGCTGCTCTGGGCACGAGCCTGCCTAGCAGGTGCGTCCTGGAGTTTCACTGCTGTGTCCCCTCCAGGCCCAGCTGCCCGAGTGCTGTGTGGATGTGGTGGGCGTCAACGCCAGCTGCCCAGGTGCAAGCCTGTGTGGCCCAGGTAAGCTACTTTGTCTCAAGCAGATTCCAGACCAGCCACTGAGCCACTGGCGTGTGTGCCGAGGTCCCTGCCCTCGGTGACAAGGACAGTGCTCATCTGCTCTGCGGGGCCGGGGGAGTGGGCGGGACGGTGAGGACTGTGGAGCTTGGGGAAGGGCAGCTGAACCTCCTTCCTGGCGGGCGGCCTTGAGCATTGGCCCAGTGAGGAGACTGGCCCGGCAGAGGGCTGGGAGCAGAGGCAGGAGCTGAGAACAGAAAGGTGCTGGGGGAAGGGTCTGGGGGAGCGGCCCATGAGCTCAGCCATTCTCATGAGGGCAGTGCTGGCTCTAGAGGCCTTTGGCAAAGCCCGAGACATTTTTGCCTGTCTGTGCTCGGGCAGAGGTGCTGCTGGCCCCTGTACGTGCAGTGGGATGCTGCCAGAGGATGCCTGTGTCGGTGCGCCACGGGCAGGCCCTGTTCATCGGAGGTTCTTGGAGGCTGCAGAAGGGACTACCTGGGGGCAGCTGGACGTCGGGAGGTCGAGGCTGGTGGGGGCAGCCAGTGGGAGCAGCCAGGGGAGGGGAGGACAGAGTGAGAAGGTGCACGGGCCTCTCCTTGGCAGCCCTTGGGGTGGTCTCCAGTGGGGCCGTGGTGGACGTGGGGCTGAGATGTCCAGGCTGTCCCTCCAAGGGCCTTGGCACTCTCATCCAGGGGGTCCAGCCCTCCCATGATGGAAGAACCCAGAGGGGCTGCTCCTGGGGACCCAGGGGCCTTGTGAGGAGGGCATGGCCAAGATGGAGGCTGAGGCAGCCAGTGAGGCTGGGCGTGGGGGTCCGAGGCTGGGTGTGGGGGTCTGAGGCTGGGTGTGGGAGTTGGGGAGGCTGCAGGAAGGCAGTGACATCTGAGGTGCAAGCGGGGTAGGAGGAGGAGGGGGGCACCGCTCTGAGGGAGAACAGAGAGACTGGGAGGAAACTGAGCACCTTGGGGCCCCTCATGCTCTGATGCGGAAGCCCTGGTGGCCAGGTGGAAACCGCCCCACTCACACCCCCATGGCAGCAAGAGTGCTGGGGGCGTGGCGTCTCCTGTGAGGGATCGTGTACCCCAGGCACTGCGTGGGCGCAGGCAGCTATGCAGCAGTCACGGTGCCCATGGAGGGGCCAGGCCAGCGGGTCGTGAGGTCCAAGGGCCGAGGTGGCCCCATGTACGGGCGCAGGGTGGGAACCGTCAGGCGCATGTGGAGAGGGGCCAGGCCTCGGTGTTGGATGCACTTCTCCCTGCGTACGGCCCCGCCATTGGCAGCTCATAGAGAAGTCCGGTCACGTGTCTGCTCGGGGAGGCCGTGGGCACTTCTGGGGACAGCGCAGAGCTGGTGTTGGGCTCCCTGCCGTGGACTCCATTCCTCGGCCTCCGGGGCAAGAGACTCTCAGGTCAGAGTGAGCCTCACTGAGGTCCGCCTGAGCCCTGTGCCAGGAGATGCCGGGAGACAGAGGCTGCCCCAGCGCTGGGAGAACGCGGCTCCGCCCCGGGAGGACTGAGTGGGTGGGCTTTTGTTCTCCCAAGAGGTGCATCCGCAGAGCGGCCCCTGTCACAACCGCGCGGGGCCACCGTGTCGCCACGGCCCGTTCGTATTCAGGTCAGTCCGTGAGGAAGGGTCGAGGCGTGTGGTCCACCCGTGGCCCACACCAGCATCAGTGCTGTAGTCAGCATCCAGCGTGTGTCTGCTCAGCTCTGGGCTAAGTGTTGGAGATACTTAGAAAGTCGAGGGGTAAGAGTCAAGTCCTGTCCTTAAAGGCACCCTGGCCGGTGGGCAGAAATGAGGCTTCAGGGCAGCATCGGCCTGGGGTGGGAATGAGGCTTGGTTTTGCAGGATCCCCCAGGAGAGACCCCGGGGAGGGCGCCAGGGTGTGGAGGTGACAGACAGACCGAGGGTCAGGATCAGCTTGGGGCAGGAGGCTGTGCTCCTGGGGGTGGGCCTGTCCTGCCTGGGCTGCTAGAGGGAACACGGCATTCGAGGCAGCAGCTCCAGGCATTGCAGGTGGGGGTCCTGGGGAGGCCGTGGGGGGGTCCTGGGGAGGTTGTGGGGGGTCCTGGGGGAGGCCATGGGGCAGGCGTTGCAGTGGGGGTTCTTGAAGAGTCTGTGGGGCGAGGGCTGGGTGGTGGAAGCTGGGCCCAGCCTCCAGTCCTGCAGAGCACAAGCCCCTGCCACAGGCCTGTTCATTCTGGATGCTGCCGCCTACCACTTTCTGGAGCGCGCAGTGTAGAGTGCTCAGGGCCAGGGTGCTCTGTGTGGAGTGCACAGTGTGCAGTGCTCAGGGCCCTGCCACGCTCCCTGGGGGTGTCCTTGTCTACCGCTCGCCCACCCTCCAGAACACGTTCGTGTTAGTGTCCGGAGTGGAAGTTACCTCACCAGAGAATCATTCCCAAGAGACTGAGCTGGTGTGGATTTCGCTTTGGCTGACATGCCTGTTCTCTGCTCCACACAGGCTGCTACAGGCACTGGAACGCGGACGGGAGCGCCAGCTGTGTCCGCTGTGGGAACGGAACCCTCCCAGCCTACAATGGCTCCGAGTGTAGAAGCTGTAGGTCTGCCCAGCTGCCCCTGGCTTCCTTCTCACAGCTCCAGCTGTGGGAGAAACTGTGGGAGTTGCTGTCTGTGTCCCCACCTTGCCCCAGAGCCACTGTCCGCTGGGGGAACAGCCCCGGGAGCCCCCTCTTCTCGAGTCCTCTGGCCCATTTGGGACAGCTCTGTGGTGAGGGCTGCTCCACCCCCTCAGCCCCTTGCTTTCGTATTTCCAGCCTGAGATCCCCTTCAGGGTGCTCGTGGGTGTCCCTGTGGGCTGCATGCTCACAGGCTTCCCACGGCTCTGCTCTCCTACAGTCGCTGGCCGGGGTGCGCCATTCCCCATGAACAGAAGCTCAGGGACCCCCGGGCGACCACATCCCGGTAAGTCTCAGCAGGCCATGGCCACCTCTGCCAGTGTCCTGGGGACTGGGGCTGTCAGAGCCAGTGCAGACCCTGACCACTGACGCGGCCACAGCAGGCTCAGGGTCTGCAAAACAGGACCAGAGGAGAGTGCGGCAGCCCCTGCAACTTGGGGTCAGCTGAAGTGGGTGGGGATGTGGGAACGTCACCAGGGCTCCACCACATCTCCAAAGGGCCGTAGTTAGGGGACGCCATCACGGCCACACCACACCCTCTCGGGGTCACGCGGCTCACAGCCACACGCTCTCAGGTTCACACGGCTCACGGCCACACCGCACCCTCTCAGGTTCACACTCACGGCCACACCACACCCTCTCAGGTTCACACTCATGGCCACACCACACGCGCTCAGGTTCACACTCATGGCTCACGGCCGCACCACACACGTTCAGGTTCGCGCTCACAGCTCATGGACACACCACATGCTCTCAGGCTCACATGGCCACACCACACGCTCTCAGGTTCACACGGCCACACCACATGCTCTCAGGCTCACACTCATGGCCACACCACACGCTCTCAGGTTCACACTCACGGCTCACGGCCACACCACACACGCTTAGGTTCACGCTCACGGCTCATGGACACACCACATGCTCTCAGGCTCACACTCATGGCCACACCACACACGCTCAGGTTCACGCTCACGGCTCATG